GGGGGGGGGAGAGTGTCTTGAACTTGGGGGGAGTAGATGTTGCTCCCCAGTTACATATAGTCTTTAAGATTAATGTTCAGACAACATAAAACAGTGAAGCCAAACCTGTTTTCCATTGTACTGTATAGGTAGATGCTGCATTATTTTTATCTGGCACTGGTATAGCAAACCTACCCATGAACCAGTTCACTTCATCTGGCAGTAAGTAAAGCATGATACTGTAAGAATGTGGTTTCTCTTTCAGGCACTTTAAGAATTTGAAGATAATCCACAACACTTGCAAAAGTAATTGTTAGAATTAAACTTCTACTGCACACACTAAACCGTTCAGAAAGGGTCATAAAAATACTCAAAACTATTTAATCTTTCACAGCAAGGTCAATAATGAAATGCTGAAGTACGTTAAGACCACCTTGAAGAACATGCATTTAATAACCAGATTTGTTTCATTAAGTCAGAGTAATTATGAAGCATGCATTTTTAGAAAAAGTATGAATATGAAGCAGACCTTTACTTGTAAAGAAAGTCTGTCCTGTAAGCAGTCTAGCTTCTTCAATTGCTTGGTTAGTTGGTGGTTTGGGTTTTTGTTTTTTTTTTTTAAATCAGATTTACCTTCTAAAATAACGTTAATTAACAAATTGATATGATTCCCTCTATCACTGAATTGCACAGAAAGTCTGTCTCCAAAGAGACTCCAGCTTTCCCCTGGAGAGGGACTCCAGCCTTCCTGCACAAAGCCTATTGTTTTTGCCACTCAGAATTCACAGAAACTTGAAGATAAGGGCGAAGGAGTGGTGTGAAAGAAACAATAGATAAAATATGCTTTTGTAGGTTATATCATTCCAATATTCTTCTACCTTCAAGAATTCAAAGAGAAAATAAGGAAAAAAAGTGCAGAAATACTGCAGTCTTTCCCTAGTGACCCTGACAGTTTCAGACTGAAGACCCATTATATTGGTATCCAAATCCTTGAGATTATGTATTTTCTGGGGATAAAACAGACAAAAAACCCCAAACAAATTATGTACTTTGGTTTGTACAATCACACCCATGTGCGGATTTACTTGAGTGTGTGTAGTACCAAGTTTCAGCTCTAACACACCAAATGGCAGAAAAGAAACGAGTCACAAATAGGATGTTTATTAGTATAATCTCTTTCATCACTCTAGAAACCTAAAGGTCTTCTCTAAAAATCGAAGTTTCAGCTTTATTATCCCTGTGTTTTCCAAAAGAAAGCATTCTAGCCCAAGCTCTCAACCTTTTTCCCCTTATTTACAAGCTCTGTCACAGTCTTTCCAATATAGATCCAGACCCCTACCAGAACAGAATACAGACATTCTAGAGTTGTGTTTTTCTCTGCACTTTTCTGTCTTTTCAAATAAAACCTAGGAAACCCTTGAAAATGGGAGGCCAGCTTCTTGTCTTATCTGGTTTTGGTGCAGACTGGAGCAGCTCAAATCCACTGATAGGCTAAGATTGTTCTTATCCTGGAAGCAGCAAGGTGCCCAAGGAAATAACATTGCAGAGTATAGAGCAGAGGATGACAAGAGAGTACACCAAGAAGAAACAGCAGCACAGAAGGGATTAGAGACTTTCAGGAAGAATGAGAAGCAGATTCTCAGCCACGTTGCAGAGCTAACACAAAAAAAGGTCTTGCCAAGAGCCCTGTGAAAACACAGGACAGCTTGCTTCACCTTGGATACTACCACGCTTCTGAACAGACAGCAGTGGATAGAAGAAGATAAAAGGGTTGGTACAACTATGTCCCATCTTGAAGGTAGAATTGAAACCTTTCTAGCCTGCAGTCTCAGAAAAGTTTTGCAATTTAGAGTTAGGGTCACTCCAGAAAGTGCTGGGCTGCACCCACACTCCAGCCAACTGAGTTCAGACATCATTTATACATACAACACCTTAATAAACTTCTATTTCTGTCAACAAGCCATTTCTCCCACTCCATCAACCTATTGATTATTCAGTTAAATGACAGCGCATTGCTTAGGACAGAACTGGTGTATTTTGTGAAGGGAGTCCTTTCCATATACTTATCTTTGTGGGGGTGTGTACATCAGTACATACACATCAGTGGCTTGGTTTGTGTTAATATTGGTGTAAGACGCTTATATAAAAGAAAGATAAGTCTATCTTCCTGCTCAGAAACAGGAGAAGTTGAATCTTGCTCATTCCCAACAGATATTCCACCCTCCTCCACAACTCTGCCCTTGATGACCAGTGACAGGGATGTGGCAATTCCTACAGGCCTTCAGTTCCAGTGCTTCACACTCTCTAGGACTACCAAGCAGTAAGTACTGCTGTGATTTAAGCACATTTCTTTTGCCAATATGGGTATGGAGAACAGGCTGTTCATCTTGCCCAACAGTCTTCTACATACTTGAGGACTTAAATCTTTCTCTAGCCTTTTCTTTAAACTTAGCATTTCTAATTTAGTACTAGGTAGATAGTAGGGCTCTGACAGTCAACTCTCTGAAGCCCCTCCAGCTGGCCCATATTCTTCCAGAAGCACTGTGCCCATGACAAAATGGAGTGCTCCAGAAGAGACAGGAGCAGTTTTAGGTGCCGGTACAGTGTCATTTCACATGTTTTGGAAGCTCTACAGCTCCTTTCTTCACCCCTCCTAACATAGAGGCATTAGCTTTTAGCACAGAAGTAGAACACTACAGACTACATTGATCTGTAATCCCTTCGCTACCGCAATCCCTAGATCCTTTTCTCGGAAACTGCTGTAAGGCTTGTTCTTTTCCATTTAATGTTTGACTAGCTGATTAGTCCTGCCTAACTGTATTAACTTTCTCTTGGCTCCTCCAAATTTTTCCTCCTTCCAAAAAAGTTTACCAATTCCGAACTCTAACCTCATCCTCCCTCTTCCAGTTTTAAATCACATGAAAACTTAAAAACAGATAGAGCTTACTCTGTCATTTAGACTGTGAAAGACATTTAATTGAAGCTTACTCAGAACACACAAGTGCAAAATCCCGCACAGAGCAGCATTCAATATCATTGCCTTGTCTTCTCTCAACATTTACCCGTCCCTTTCTGTAGCCATCCTACGTCAATTAAGACCACAGCTTCCCTGTTTCCTTGCAAGAATGTAACAGTATGGTAGTGGTTGAAGAAAGAATAAGTAAAATTTGGGGCTTTTTTTCCTATTAAACTTTTAAAACTACTAAGGAAATCAGAATGGTCTAAAAAATATTTCCTTGACAATTCCGTATCAATTAACACTCCTACCCAGATTACCTACTAGAAGTAATTAGGGGGAAAAAAGCACTTGTTCCCCCACTTCTCAATTTTTCCAGGAACTGAATCCAAGCTGACTACTTTTATACATCCCTAGCTCCTCCTCTCCCCCCATTTAAAACATTTTGGATTTTTCTAGTCCTCCTTGTAGCTCATCTCTCCTCAACTTCTCAAAATTAACCAACAGTTCAGAAATTGTTTCAGCCAAGATAAAACTCATCACACAGAACTGATGTGAAACTATTTAACAATGAAGTACTTTTAGCCTGTCTTTCACTTAAGCCTAGATGATCTCTTTCCTCTCAGTATTAGGACAAAGGACCAGAAGCATGTGACTCTCCTCACTGAGAAAGGACCAAAAAGAGCACATTTGAGATATGACACTTTGACAAAACTGACTGTCTGAACCTCTCTCCTTACAGCATGCCTCCCCAAAGAGCATGAAAATGCTTTTAAACCCGAAAGAAGACAGTTTTAATACATCACTTTCCAGCTACAAGAAATCTGAAAGCAGCTAGGTAAGACAGAGAGAGCTCATCAGTCGCTCTTTCCAAGCGACTTCAATCCAAGCCTTCCTTTAGCCTTCTTTTCACTGCTACCATGCCTACACAATGATTACTTTCATTTTTTGTACCTTCTGCTAGTCGCGTCACATTTTGGGCAGTGGTACATCTTTAATAAGGCTTCAGGTGAAGAAATGCCTAGAATAGTAAACACAAAGCAGCTGCACAAGTGGGAAGAAGCTTCCTTTTGTTATCCAGTTAATTTCTGAAAGACACAAGCACTCCAATATCAAACTTAAATCATTTAAATGTGTGCTTTAACAACTGCCTGACAAATTATGGCATTTAGGAAAATAACTACAGACAAAACCACTCTGATCTCACCTCTACTTAGTACACATAAATTACCTCAAACTGGCGCATAGCAATATGTGTCAGATTTCCCTACTACCAGTGCTATAAATTCAACTTTAGCCCAGTGTTGCCACCAGAACTATTTGGTAGCAATCCTGACAACCATCAAATTCATTCAAAGCAAAGGCTTTCAATACCAGATTTCATATAACTTTCGGAAGGAAACTGCATACCATTTTACAAGGACCACAACGACAACCACGACAACCAACCACAAAGAAAATGTGAAGCACAAGTATAATTTCAGAGCCACTTTTTCCAAACAGAATAATGAATTAAAGCAATCAAACCCATCTTTCATCAAAAGTACCTGACTTCAGATTAGTACTACACAAGGATTCAGTCACTGGAAGGAGTCATACAGGGCTTTGATGAAGAGAGATTACTTACTTATGTTGAGGAAAGATTGAGGGGGGTGGGGGAATGATACTCGGCCTTTTAAGTTAGACTCCAATGCAATTTAAGAGTGAACATATAACACCACTGAAAACTGACATTTTAAATAGACACATTTGACAAAATCCTAATCAGACAGGCAGGAACTATTATAAAGCCCCTTTTTATGTATTGCAAGTCAATGATAAAAGATCCAAGCTCTCTTGCTGCAGGATTGAACTTTTAAAAGGCTTTTCACCAGAATTTAATTAACATTCCCAATGGCCCTTGTAATCCTAAAAACAGTATGTCATGCCCTTCCTAACCTAGATCATTAAAAAAAAAAAAAAAAAAGCTGTCTTCAAGAATTAGTCAAATGTGTTTTAACTGAAGATGTTACAAATACTATTGCAAGCTGCCAGAAAGAGCTCACAACGAACTTGTTTTGTGGTTTTGTTAAAATATTCATTGCTAAGGAGCACATTATATGGATAAACTGCTACACACATTAATCTCTAAATAAAATGCAAGTACGAGAAGGCTGGTAATTTTTCCTTGGCAACACTGGAAACATTCTGTACTATGCAATAAGCAAAATTTAGATAGGATATCACAATATACCACAGCAGAACACATTTAGACAAAGATGTATTTTCTGCTTAATATTACATTTTTCCCTTATAGGGGATATAGACTATAGACCACCTGACTAAATTAAACTGCATATGACAGCAAAACACATCAGCCAACCAAAAGACCTTTAGGATATTATTTTTTTTTCAAGTATATCCAAAGCTAAATCATATACATGGTGGCTGGCAAATCCACTTGTACTCAAAAACCAAAGCCAAATTCTCTAAACTGCATTCTCTAAACACCACTTAATATCTTTCTTTTCAAAACCTCTACAACCCATAAATTATGAGATAAAAATGATATTGCACTTAAGCATGAAGACAAAAAAGGAAAAAGTATAAGAGCTATCCCTGACTGCAGATGTACAATATAAATCTTGCTAGTACTTTAATAATTCCAGTGGAAGGCTGACAGTGGAACCTAGGAGAGTAAGTGATGTAACATTATATAAGTAATGCCATGTATAAATCTAAACTTTCCCAGACTTAGTAGATTCCTTTCTCCTTCAGCACAAGCAGATTTCTTCTTTTTTATGATTTAATACACTATAACAAAGATATTCATCAAAAAGGGTAACTCATCTTCACCCCAGCATCATTAAGCATTGTCAACGAGCAATGATGTCTGATGAACAATAAGGTGTTTCAGATTCGTCCTGGCCCACAAGGGAAGCGGCTATGTTCTGAAATCCATAAGGGAGAGATACCTTTTTCTTTGTGATATGAAAAAACAACCCACAGAGAGCCTCTTTCCCCCTTTACTAAAAAGGGGTTGCTTCTGTACTGCAGGGAGATAGGAAGAAAACTGCTTGTTCAGGCAAATTCTCCTGAAAGAGCAGCATAAAGATGGACGCTTTTGTCCGTTTCTACTTGTCAATGCTGTGCGCAGGTGCCTTCTTACAATACAGGCCAAACAGACAATACTGAGTCAATACTGACAGCCTAGGATATCACCAGAAAACCTGTACCCTTAATCATTCTCCTCAATAAAATGGTGAGTTTACAGAAATTATTCTTTATGGTCCATTGTGAAGAGCACCTATCTGAATAACAGCAGGCCTATGTGCAGGCTACCATCAGCACACAGATGGCAGCTTCTAGTTATAAGGAACTCTGCTCTGCTTTTTTTGCTCCCATGTTTTTCAAAAGGCAGCTATCTATTAATATTGTTGTGAAAAAGCTATGTAATTTGCATATTACTCTCTAATGGCTTAATGTAACTGAGTTGAGAAGGTTTTTGAGACCATGTACTGAGAATAACACGAAAGTCAAGATACTCATGTTCACAGGTATTACTAGAACACAGAAAGAAATAACATTTTGTTTCAAGACTTTGCCTTTGGTAATTTAGGAGTACCTTTGCCTTTCAGGCAGCATAGTCATTAAACAAAGAACAAATTCAAGCAAAGCGAGCTACATTTTGCAACAATGCTTTCAGAGCTTTGTCTATACTTCCAATTAACTTCCACGTGTTAATAACAAATTATTGTTGGCTTAATCTTTACTGACCTTGCTGACAGACTTCAAATACAAAATTCTATTTAAAAAATTAGCCCATTTAAAAAAATATGTAGAAATATAATTGAGACAGAAGTATCCACATAGCGTACAGTGTGCCTGCAGCATACCACTGAAAAGCAAGCATCTGTGCATCTACTCTAACCACTCTTTCTGTAAGTGATACCATCTCCTCATATATTATTAAATAATGGGAAGGAAAACAAGATAATGATCAACAGCAAAATCCAAACACAGATTGTAATCTCAAATATCAAACATCTTAGGAGCTGCATTTATGTCTGGTGTTCAGTTGCATGGCCTTTCTAACACCTCTAGGGAGTTAAAATTTTTTACCTGCATTTTGAACGCATGGAAACAACTTCATTATTTGCTGCTTAATTGTCAAAAGTTCTGTGACGCTGGCTCCCTTAAACAGCCAGCTAACAAGTACTGCCATGCTGAGTCACAACCTTATGCCTCTTTACCAAGCGGCTGCAGTTCCACTAAGCTTGGAAAATTGAAGGAGAAAAGATGGTATGAACTCCTCTTGCAGCAGTTTCCCCTAAAGTACAGCTCTCTATAACCGCTTCTCATGGTACGCTTGTGCAACTTGTCCCAGAAGTAATCCCCACCGAGGAGATGTTCCCTTGTCTGGTCCAGAGTCCCACTGTTAGATGGTCACCTTCTTGCAAGGATTTCTTCACCTGCCTTAAAACCTGCTCTCAAATCTAGAAAACTCTACCAGATGTCCTTCAAAAACAAGTTCTATTGGACTTCTTATTCCTCCTGGTGTGCAAGAAAAAAGAATCCTTTATACCACCAAAACTAAAAATTGGGATTTCCTTCAGGTTGCTCAAAAACAATGCTTGTGTATAGAACACATAACTAGGAACCAAGTCGCAAAAACCTCACCTTCTGCAAGGACAATCCTTTCAAAGAGATTTTGCTTTTAGAAATCAAAAGGAAAAGCAAGTCAGAATATTTAACACCATTCAAGTTACACAATGAAGGAACTATTCTGAATATCCTAACTGCAAAATTTCTTTTCATTGCCATTTCAGAAAGAGAGTTTAAAGGAT